CCCAAACCATTCTATGATTCTATGAAATTGTTTTAAGAGCTATTCAAGTTATGTTTAGGCTATAAAACAAAGCAACTCATTAGCTTGTATTTTACAGAGATGTAAATGAACAGGAACTTTTTCTAAACAAAATAATGTTTTCTGCTCCTTTTCAATTCATGGTTCTAAAGGACCTATAATTCTGAGCAAAGCTTTCAAAAAATCAGTTCCTAACAAAAACTCCTAGTGAATTCTGTGTAATTATTTTTAAATTAGTGGCTGCTGTCAGAACAGTTTAGATTTGCACACTGAAAGCGATAACTATCAGAGATATGCTGTCTTGTTACAGTACTAAATAATCAAATTGGAATTTATTTCACTAGAAGGCTTTTTGAGGATAGCTGGCAAACTAAATTCTCTTTTCTTTCTAACAAAGACAGCTACCTTTGATCTTTGACAGCTATCTTCAGCTTGAAATCCTTGTTCCATATTAATATGCTACAAGAAATTCTACAGTTCTAAATGTGGCTGGAAAATGAGAAAAGTCTTGTTATAATGTCTGTGTTGCAGTTGTAACTCACAGCTTCCTCGGTGTAAGTTTAAAAACAGTTTTGTGATGAAGGATCATTACTTTGACACTTAGGTACAAATGTTTCTAGAAAAAGAAAAGAACAAACACTACGTTAACACAAATGTTCTCCTGACGTTTGTCCTGATCTGACCTTCTCCTTACTAGTGATTACCTGTGTTGCTCCTGTCCCCTGAGGTTCAGTGGGAGCATTCAAGCCTCTGCGAGCTGGGGACAGCTTGTGCGTAGGTCCCATAGCTGGGGTACACCCGGTGCGCAGCAGCAGACCAGTGCTTGTACGCAGGTCCTGAATAGTGATGATGCAGCCTCCTGTCTGTGAAGGAAAGGGAGCCTGCGGAGCCATCCTATAATGAAACTGTGCGGTGGAGATAATAGGACCCCTGAGCATCCATAGTCATCTCCAACTTGCAAACCACTCCTGGCTCTTTTCTCTTTACTAGTTATTTAAAATTTGTGGTTTATAGTTGGCAGGCTCAGGAAGGCTGACCTCCATTAGCTAAGCATGTCCTCCAGCAGTCTGTCTTGCAATTGTTTTGTGACTTTAATTGGCTTTTCCTCCTGCTCCTTGTAATTGCCTCTTTCATGTAATTGATGCTGATCAGGTCTCTGTCCTCCACTCCCATTCAGCCCTTGGACGCTTCATTGCTAGTTGGATTGAAGTCATGAAGCTTATTCTGTTCTTAGGTCAAAAACCTTGAGCTGTAAATGTGCCTGGTTAGCACCTACACCTGGGGCAAGAAGGGTTTGGAGTTTTTCCTCTCTCAGCCTATAAATAGTGCTTTCCAGAGATTTTTGCCAGGTCAAAGCTAAAACCATTGGCAGGACCATATGAAGAAGTAGGTACTGCCAATGCTGTGCTGTACATGTTTTGATTTAGCAACCCAGACATTTCAATTCAGCACCTTTCACATACAGTTAAATTCACTTACTGGAGTAAATGTCCCTGCAGAATATGCACTTAACACTTGTGCTGCATGGGAAAGTTAAGGTTCTATATTCATCCACATCACTGCAGTTTTACTTTTTTTTTTTTTTGTTATGGAACTTCAATTTCTGTATAGCTCTAGCCCTTGCTTCATAGTAGAAGCTCTTGTAGGACTGCTTCAGTCTGTAGCTTTTAATGTTCAAGAATCTGATTTTGATTAGCAAAATAGGTGAAATAATAGGGTGCTAAGTAAGCAGTGCCAAAGTGTTGGGGCTAATGGGTCACTTCTGTAATTAGGACAGAATATATTGACACCATTTTTCAACACATTGCATTATTGTCTGAAGTAAGAACAGCTTCCCTAGATACACTCTTTGATCTTCACAGTTCTTCCATTTTTCTAAGAGACAGCTTATTACTTCGTAGTCTCATGGGGACCAACACCAACTTTTTAATTTCTTTTTTTTTCTGCTTTGTTGTTCATCATCTCACATCCAATGTACAACAATTTTTTATTGGGATAGTGGCTAGAAAGTAGCTGCGCCAAGATAAGCAGCTTTTTAAGCAGTGAAATGATTCAGATACCAGAAATGCAACACATGGCTTCTTTAATCTGCTTTTCTCCAGCTTCTGTTGACTCAGCCCATAACCCACATGTCTAGAAGTACCCTTCGCATCTAAGGGGGCCTAGGTCATTTAGCTTCATGAAACATGTTTAATGATCTTAGGGTGTGTGGTTCACAGTTTCTATAGTCTTTTCTTACTCAGAAAACTGTTATGACAGTCCTAGACAAAGCTGACTTATAATGGAGTTTGCCCCTATAAATGGTTAACAACATTACCAATTGGATGTTGACATCCACATATTCATTGCATAGTTCAAAAGCCCTGGTGAGTCCAGAAAACTTAAAGAAACTGTCACAATAGGAGTTGGGGGTGGAGACGCTCCATAAGAACAGGCAAAAATGAGCTGCTTTTTTTTTTTAAAATGCTTTCAAATGATCTAGATCTTTCATACCACACAACTTCATTATAGGTAGAGGCAGGTTTGTCACCTTAAAGTTAAGCATCATTCTTCATATTATTTTCATTTGCTTATTCCTGTACCAATCTTCATGCTGAAAATAACCATTGGATGTTTTCACTGAAACAGAGAAGAGGACTTCATATTTCTCAATATGGATATAAGCTGGAATAAGTCTGCTGTTTTTTTCATCATGTTTAAAGTCTCATGATATCTGATGGACATTCAATCCTATAGGCATGTTTTCAACCAGTAATTAAAATCTAGTGTACTGTACTATCCAAGATGTGCGTCTCTTGTTTCTGTGTAAATTCCTTGCATTTGGTCAAGTATAAGACTGTAAAAATCTCAGTAGGCATACACCTAGGAGAGATTTGAGTCATGCAGATACGTAAGCTGAGATACCATTTGTACTTGCCAAAGTCTACCTCA